TGTTCATCAGGTGTTGGTGCGAAAGAGCTTACACGAAGCTAAATTAATTAAGGTGAGAGTGAAGATGCCGTCTTTAATTTAGTGTTGTTGCAATGGCATGTAATTCCATTACCTTCACTCGCCACCTTCAACTACAATCTCCTCTTCTCCTCCTCGCTTCCTCTTCCTTCTATCGTCTCCCTAATCCTAAAATCTTCCCTCTCTTCTCCTCGATGGAGGTACACACCTTCCCTCTCTCTCCTCTTTTCATGTCTTATTTCGTCTCAATTTATTTTTCTTTTTTTAATCTGTGGGACACGTTTATATATTTAAAAATAATTTAACTTTAAAATTCTCGTTTAACACCACAAATGACTATATTTTGTTTTTAGATTAGACGTTTCTAAAGTCTCTTTGCACTGTCAAACACCCTCACATATATTGGACTCTTTCTTCTATTTGTCTAAAAATATTGACACTCGTTTGTGCTGGTACAGCATTTGGTTAATATCTATGTTTAAGGAATTTTTAAATTAAAAATGTTATCATAGTTGTTTGCATTACCTGAAGATACTGTTAAAAAATTCATACTCCTATTTAGTATATTGAGGTTATGTTGGTGTCGAGTTATTTACGTACATTTAGTAAGTTAAGTTGGGTACTAGTTTCTGTCTCTTATCAAGCCTGCAGTGTTTAACTTTCGTTTTATCTATTTGAGATCATATTTTAGTGAGCTAATTCCAAGGGGGATGGTCCAAGCTTCCTTCCATGAGAAATTATACTATTAATGAAGTAGCGCTTTTTTTAAAAAAATAAAATAAAATACTGGTACATGTACTAAGGGGGTGAATCCCATTATATTGGCACAAGCCAAACTATGGAGCAGTGTCAAGCAAACCAAGAAATCTCTTGAATGTGCAACCTTTGCTGTCAAAATTCTTTTCCGAAAAGAAGAGGTTATTTGTGTTTTGGGAAATAAAAATCACAGAATGTGAATATCATGGTTATTCTATTCTCTCGCGTGACTATTGGACCCCAATTTGATATGCGATATTGTGATAAACCATCTTTCCAATGAAACCTTATTGGTTAATTTGATTTTTGCCCTTTAGCATTGAAACAATTAGTAAATCTTGAAGTATTTACTCTTTTATTTAGTTCTTAGTTGTGGATTTGTAGTTTTAGCTGGTAGATTTGATGTATGTATTTTTTGTGTTTACTAAAGAATTGTTTGTTTAATTCTTGGGTTATTAATCATTTGTTCTGTTCTTAGTTACTGAAGAATTATAAAAAGTCGTCAGAGTTTAATTGGAATTATTTCTAGATTATTAATGTATTTAGAGTTCATGCATATTAAACTGATTAGAACTTTAACTTAATTTCAGTTTTAGAATCCAATGAAGTTTTAACATTTATAATTTGCATATATTTTTTTTCTTCACATAACGCCAATACAAGTAGCTTTAAACGAGAGTTTGTCTTGAGGCTGCTTTAACGGACAAAATTCGGTTGTCATGCTTGATGTTGCCTGATCTGCGTTGCTATGAGCTGCCATCACAGTTTTACCTTAAGTCTCTGGCCACTAAGAGTAATGAGTTATTTGTATGACTTCATAATCACTTTTGCTTGTATGGTTTAAGGGTTCTTCCCTTGAAATTATGTCCTTAACTTCACTAATTCTAATTCAGTAACTGGATTTTACCTCATTTCAATCACTCTACCATTTCTAACCCAAGTACTTGATTAGCAAATAAGGTTAAAGCAGACTTCTTCTTCTCTGACTATGTGACCTGATAATTTTCTTAAATTCCTACCCCACCGTGAAGTCATAAGCTGTTATTGCCACTGATCTAGGTTCTTTTTGAATTTCTTTCCTAATATGGAAAAAAATACAGAGATGATGATAATATGGCTGTTAATTTGTGTAGGATGTACTTGAATAGTAATGGACGTTGGCTATGTATAGGACCTATTTGGGAAGCAGATCTTCTTAATGCATCTCACATCAAATGTTCTTATATCTTGAGACAGTAGTTATGATGTCTTATTTACTATGTCTTATTTAATGTGCATTCTTTCTCCTTCCCATTCAACCTTGAACAAGTCAGGAGATGGGCCAATGTCTCTCTCATCTCACTCTTGTTTTATGTTTGTCGACAGCAATATTGGAGTGGAACTGCAATTAGCAGAAACAAGGGAATGATTGAGCAGTTGCAGAGATATGGAGGGATCAGATCTGAGAAAGTAGTGGAAGTAATGAAAACTATCGACAGGGCTTTATTTGTACCTGAGGGAACCCCTGCTTATGTTGATAGCCCCGCGAGTATAGGTTACAATGCCACTATTTCAGCACCTCATATGCATGCTATGTGTCTTCAATTATTGGAGGACAAGTTGCAGCCTGGCATGCATGCTCTTGATGTCGGTTAAGGTGATTTTCGACATCGCTATTCCTGCAATCTCTTAGCAAATTGATACTGTTTCTTTCACTATTGGGGGGAAGGTATTAAGAGGGATGTCGCTGTATATGTGGCTAAATGTGTGTCTTTCATATTCAACTGCTAAGTTATTATTGTAATTTGCTTTATGAGGAATAAGAAACCGCTATTTACAAGCTCTAGAAGCATGGGGTTTATTACCATAAGTAGCATGGTTTTCACATGGTGGGTGACAGAAGTGACACCATCGGATGCAGTTGATATGGCAAATAGTCGCTGCTTATTGATTCTGAGTTTTCTAGACTTGGTTGATTCCATGACTCTGGGAGATCACCCGTAGTTGGATTGAGAATGAACCATCTTCAAATTTTTTCCTCTTATTTCCCCAAATTATCTATGTTATGTTGGATTCAGAGTAGTTAAACCAACAAAGTGGGATCAGTAGAAAGCTTGTTGAATAATATACTTAAACATCCTGACCAACTAGATTTTTTGAATCTATGGACCATCCAGTTAGTGAAGTCTTAAGCTATTATTTAAAAGCTTTTAGCTAGTTTTGCCTGCTAAAAGGATAGGTTGGCTTGGCTAAGGGTGAAATTACCTTGTTTTTCATCAATCAACCAATGGTTTGAGTGCTTTGTACCTTGATTGAACTGTTTCACAGCCGTTGACCATCTTAAAAATTCCGTTCTCCAGTAAATCTACTTATTATGAGTGTGCGGATGCTGATTTTACTTGGCACTTGGACTGGCTTCTGAATAGCTTGTTTTCTGTAGGAACTGGTTATCTCACAGCATGTTTTGCACTAATGGTTGGACCAAAAGGTCGAGTTGTTGGTGTTGAACATATCCCGGAGTTAGTTGCATGGTCAATGAAGAATGTCGAACAAAGTGCAGCAGCTCCCTTAATCAAAGACGGCTCCCTCTCACTGCATGTTGGTGGTATGGTTTATAGCTTTGTATTTCCAGCACGAAGCGTAAGAATTCAGAAATATACCACTACTTAAAGAATGTTGTCTCTCTTTATGGATCACAACTTAACAACTGTCAATAGTCAATATTTATTCTTACATGTACTGAGAAGTTTTAGATGTTTCTTAACCTTGTTTCTTAGTTTCTACTTTGACTATTTTCCCTGGATCAGTCGATGGGATTTATGTGTATTATAACAGATGGGAGGAAGGGTTGGCCAGAGCATGCACCCTACGACTATTCACGTAGGAGCAGCAGCAGGAGATATTCCACAAGATCTCATAGACCAGTTGAAGCCCGGAGGAAGGATGGTGATTCCAGTGGGAACTTTTTTTCAAGACCTACAGGTTATAAACAAGAATTCAGATGGTTCGATCAGCAGTCGAAGTGAGACTTGTGTCCGTTATGTTCCTCTCACTAGTCGGCATTCACAGTTAGAGGGCCTGTAAATTCAGCTGTTGGTTTGTGATGGTAACAGTCGTAGTTTACTGTGTATAACTAATTCTTCTTTTTTCTGCTTTCTTTTCTACAGCTAGCTCTACGAACTCTTAGAATGATGAATCAATGTATGAAATGGTACTGTTTTAGTTTCTATTTAGATTTCTCATACTAAGAGAGTCTTGTGCATACAATATTTCATATGGTGGTGGTGAATCGAAAATCCCCTTGGTTACTTGGCGTGAAAATGCAAACATAAAAATACAGGGTAACATTTCAGGAACATCCCTTCAATATGTTGCTGCCCGAGGAACCTAAAATGGAAGTGCGAAATATTTGAGATTAGCCGATCTGGGAGCAAAGGTGGTTCAGAATTTAAATTTCATGAGTTCAATATACGAGTTTTTTAGCATGAAATTCATTATATTTTCAAAGTTATGGGTTTATATGTCATGATCCGCCACACCATCATGCCACATAGGTGACACTTGGCATATATTTTTGTTATATGGAAGGGTTACATAAGTTAGGGAAAAGATCTTGGTGGAATATTCTAGAACTATGGAGAATTTCTTTAGAAAAATTCTAGATATTTCTGCATTTGTAGGAAGGTTCTAGAAAAATATAGAGGTTTCCTTAGGAAGACCTAGAACCCTATAGAATTGTTAGAAAAGTCTTTAGAAGAATCTAGCTATCTAGAATATTCTAAAGAAGGGACTTAGTTGTAAATATGGAAGGACTTGTAAAATAATTATTATTTACATATTAGCCCCTAGGTGATTAGTATAAATAGGGGTTATTCCTTTGGCAATTCTCATGTGTTCTAACATTTCTTAGCGATCTTGAGTGTAGTATGGTTGACTTGGCATAACAAGAACGTGAGCAAGGAGTGCAAGATTGTGAGCGAGTTGCCAAATGCCGCACGTGCGCTTAAGTTTAAGACTAAGGACGTGACATATAGCTACTATTTTGAGGGATTACATTTACAAATTAACATATGCAGTGTTAAGTAACCTGCAAATTCTTTGGCAAAGCAAGCCATGCTGTCCATACAAGAACGTTTGCTACATGCTATATCTAGTAACAACTCACTCCAATTCTCACATCTCTACGTCTAATTTTGTCCACCCACAAACATTCATCCACCAATTTGAAGTTCCCAGAAAGCAAAACAAAGAAAAAAAATAGTAGTAGACGCATTATCTATATAAAAGCAATTGCTAATTCAGGGTTCAAAACTTGGAATTCAAAGCTTACAAGCAAGTGCTAAAATGGAAAACGCCTAACCAAAATTCCGGAAAAAAAAATATAAGAAAAAACACTCTTAGCTGCAGAATTGTGACCGCTATGATTATAGAACAAATGAACCTTTGATCAAATCAAAACGTGTTGCGCCTGGATCTATCTTCAGCAACATTTACCCTGATTGTCCTCCCATCCAAACTCTGTAATATACCAGCAGTGGAGAGAATTGTTAGCTTCAAGTCAACACTGTCAAACAAATATATCCTAACTATGAAATCCACACGAAAATATCAAAACCCACCAGCTTTATTAAGAGATAAAGTAGTAATGGATAAATCTGATTTAGGCTGTAGATGTAAGATAACCTTCAGAACAACAATAATATTTCATACTGTCGGATATTCTAAGCTTCACATGTTTCTTACCACTGAATAAATTCATCGTTTATGTACCAATTAAATATCATTGTAATGCACCTCTAGGCTCTAACGTATAAACACAGTTGAATAAACAACAATACCTTATTTGAAAAATTAGCTTATCTGACTCTCCAACAACTCATGCACTTACTCTATCATATCGGAGTTTTGTTTTAATCTTAAACATTTAACATCACATATGCATTGCTAATGCCATAATTAAATTAGTGCAGTAAGAACTCAGGTAATGACAAAAAGGGGTTTTTTGAGTGAATAAGTATGATGAACAAACTATAGGTAAAAGAAACAACAATCTTTAATGTCGACTTGCTTATCGTTGTGAAAAGAATAATTATACTCTATAATATAGCTGTTACAATTTCGCACTATCGTAATTTTGCCCTTAGTTTCCAGCATTCAGTTTGGATTTTATCAAAGAAACCCAAATAAAATAGCTTAATTAGAAAACTGATCTGCCGGAAAAGAAAAATGAAAATTTAGACAATGGAAAATATGAAAGGCGATTGAGAGAATTGACATGCTTCCTTTTCTGGTTAACTCTTCAAAGACAATATGAATTAACAAATGAGCATGACTTTGATTGTGTGTGAGAAATCTGTGTGTGTATTACCTGTCCATCAAGGTTTGCAATTGCATCACTCATTTCAGCTTCACTTGCCATCGTAACAAAACCAAAACCTCGCGACCGGCCAGTTTCTCTGTCATAAACTACCCGAGCACTTACTACTTTACCATGTTCACTGAACAGTTGCTCAAGGCGTGCATCATCAATGCCCCATGGGATATTGCCTACGTAGATCCTGTAAGACTGTTCAAATGTCCGAGGCGGACGCTCAGGTCGCTCTCCTCTACGAGCAGCTTTGTTGACTGTCAAGAGTCTTCCATTGACATCCTACTCATAGAGAAAATGAAAAATCAAAACACTACTGAAGTAGTCTGGAAACATATCAAAGTATTTGTGCTTCATATATCGAATTTTCACAAGAATCTATCAAATTTTTAATTAAGCAATATATAGATACACACACATGTATAAATCCTTCACATTTTATCGCGTACACCAGAAGAATAAATCACACAAGCAATAAGCTCCTAAATTATACAAATTTTTTAAACTTCTTCACCACCCCTTACATTTCTTTTGTTCCATGCTTGCGTCCCATGTTTTTATGCTTCATCTATTGTAACCACAAAATGACTGAATTGTTATACTGGTCTCTTCACAAGAAACAGCTCAAAGCCATACAAAACAGTAAACATCATATTCAAATCCCATCTAACTGTTATCTCTGTATAATTCTTCTTTCTCCATATTTTTTTCCAAATAAACACATTAGCACGCGGCATGCAAGAATAAGCTTCTCACACAAAGATTTAGTACAAAAAAGGGCTAACATAAACTCACATAACGATTGTACATTTCCACAGCTTTCTCAGCTTCTTCCACCGTACTCATTGTCACAAAACCAAATCCACGACTTTGATCAGTGTCCCTATTGTAAATAACCTGTAAAAACAAAATATCAGCTCAATATTGACTTGCTGGTTTGTTTGCTTAAATTTTTAATCCTCTTAGACTGCTGAAATAGTTTCTTAGGACAGTGTCTACAAGACTCAAGCTCTACATGTATCTCCTCATAAATAAATAAATAATTTTCTCCTACGTTCAATTTCAAGAACCTCTGAAATAAAATTAAAAGAAAGATGCGAACTTCTCAGTGAAATTGTGTCAATAGTTACCTCAGCAATCTCAACAACACCAGCCTGCTCAAAAAGCCGAGCCAGCCCTTCACTGTCTACATCATAAGGTAAATTCCCAACAAACAACTTAGCATCTTCAGGTGGTTCTTGAAACTCCTCCTCCTCCTCGTCTGCTTCAACCTCATCACTCTCCCCAGCATCTCCAACTGCCTCTACAAACCCTTCTTCTTCTGTTTCTTCACCACTAGGTTCAAAGTTAAACAAGTCTCCAGATTCTTGTCCTTGGCCGTCAAGGATAAGGGTGTTTTCTTCTTCTTGCAGTGCAGAAACTGATGTTTTCTTTTTTGGGGATAAGATACAAGGAGAATAAGTGCAAGAAAGGTGGAGGAGTTTAATGGGTTTTAATGTGTTTGAGAGATATGGGTAAGCAAAAGATTTGGATTTTGTGGTGGTGGCAAAGAGGGGAGGAAGAGAAATGAGGCAACTGTTCGTTGCCATGGATGAAGGCTTGATTATTGGCTTTGTTGCACACGACATTTCTCTATGCCTCTCTACGGAAGGGTTTCGAGTAGAAGGGAGAGAGGATAAGATGAAGAGGACTGAGGAGAAAGGCAGAGGTTTGAAACGGCGGATGGTCCAAGATTTTGTTGGGGATTTTTCTTAGATTTTTTGCCCTCTAGGACTAGGAAAGGGGATTTGGAGGTCGAAAAACAATTATATTATGTGGGCGTTTGGGCATAAGAATTGTAAAATTTAGGGAAAAAAAAAATTCAAACGAAAATGATATTTGAAAAATTAGAGCTTATTTGAATATGAATAAATTTTGAATTGTTTTTGAATTTTTGTGAGTGATCTGAGTGAAAATTTTGAAAAATAATTTTTTTGAGTTTTTCAAAATTTATCTTCGAGTGAAAATTAAAAATTTGATGGTCAAATACTGATTTCGAAAAAAAATAAAGAATTTAGAAAAAAGTAAAAAAAAAAAAAATTATGGCCAAACGGACTCTAAATTTTGTAAGAGCCGTTTGGTGTCCAGACAAGCTAGGAGTAGGAGTATTAATGGATCTTTAAAAAAGATCATATCCACAATCGAGGTTTTTTTAATAAATTTATAATAGTACCAATAATTACGACAGATTTTTATTTTACAAAAATAAATCAAAAAATATCAAATAATTTATATAGAAAATATATTTTATATATTAGGTTTAAAATAATAAAATATTTTTTTTCTTGGCCCTAATGATAATGAAACGTTTACCATCTAACAAGTATAAAATGAGAAAGTTTCTAACTCTCAAATCTATCATGCTACTCCTATTGAAACTAAATTAGTTTTAGCTAGCATCTTGAACAGCCACAGGTAATTTGGCGATCTTGAGTATCAAACCATAAGGTATTAAATATCTTTACTCTCACTGTGATTTAGATTTTTCTTATTGGATACTTAATCTTCTAATAGACTCGATTTTGAGTCCAATCTTGATTAATACATTCCAACTCGTATGATCTATATTTTTTTGTCTTTACTTCATTTCTCATACGCTATAGCAGACTACTGAGATAAATTTCTATTTTGGCTATCTTTCATATTTTCTTGATTCAACGTCTTTTAAACTATAAAAAAATGTATAGAGAGTATTGTTGAAATCATAAGTAAGTATGTATCTTATCGCGTTCTAACTTTGATTAGTGACTCTGACATGACATTTTAAGAAAAATACTGAAAGTTAACCGAATCGTAACGATACCGAATAAAAATCGAGAATTGGGACGGTTTTTCAAAGTCTAATTTTGGTTATATAAAATGAAGTAATTGAAAAATTAGTACGGTATAAATTTTATAAAGTAACCGATGGAACCGAATCATTGACACCCCTAGCCAAGAGATTAATAATAAAGGTGTTAGTAAGGCAAAGAATATAATCGATCGCGAGTTCAATTGAATTTTTTTTGTCGAAAGATTTTAAATTTTATATATATATATATATATATATATAAATTATTGATGTAATGATCCGGCCGGTCGTTCGGAGTATTTTAGCCCTGTTCACTATTTATTACCTCCTCTATGTTAAATTATGATTGTCGGGGTGGTTGTTTGTTTGTATGTTGAGCTTGTATAGCTAAGTTAACAACCCAATTGGTATAATTTTATCTTTTCCTCAAAATCAACATCAATCTCCTTTATATCTCATTTTTAGTTTTAAAAAAAATGTCCAATAAAAAATAATATTTGCATTATAAATTTTGCATAACTAATACCTGCGCTAATTCATACCTAACTTGTTGCTCAACCAAAGGATTAAAAGTTCCCAAAGCAAGAAAGAACGACATCGAAAAAGTTTGGAAACGAAAAAAATGCAATTCTTTCTTATAGTGGTGGTGTACAGCAACTTGTGCCACCTTGACTAATTCACTGAATATCTAAATGTATCAAGTCCACTAAGCTTGAAGACTCATTTATTCCTGTAATAAGACTCGTTTTCCACTCAGTTTTCAGATCCAAACCAACGACAATGGCTAAATCCTTGACATGCCTGGCTGATCTTAAATTCAATCTTCTTGTATCTATGATAAAAACCAAAATTTGAATAATAATAAATAAATGAATTCTAAGGAGGCACGGGTCCAAGAGAAAGCCAGTTAATGCAAAATGAAATACAGGCCAAATAAAGGTTTTGGATGGTAAGGCATATTCACAAAGGATATAATTCATATTAGGAGTCAAAGGATGATCTCTTGCCCCAATTTATCTGTTTTTACAAGAGCGTCTGCAAAATACTCTAAGTTGTCCTGAGAACACAAATACACAATTCATACACATCTAATGGAGCCTACAACTAGCACTTGAGAAAGGTATTCCCATTGAAACTGCAGTCTACATTATGCATCTTTCCATTGAAGACCTCTGTGATACATATTGTAAGGGAATGATTGTGGCGAAGAATCTCAACAATACTCTCTTCAAGAAAGAGTTACGAAGTTAAATGGATGGACATTCTCAAGAAATATCTTTACCAAAGAGTTCACTTATTCCTTTAGCAGGATCCATCTGTTTTACAAGCGACTCTCCAACTAGCACCTACAAAATCCAATGACATTTATGATAGGGAAAATTTCACATAAGAACAACTAGGCTCCCTACTTTCAACTTTATAGCTCATATTTCAATTTACAACCAACTAGCCCAAAAATAATAGGCTAATACTTAACATTCAACTCCAACGGATTCTCGAAATTACTATATAATTTTTAAAAAAGATTGCTCAAGCTTTTAAGTTAATTTTTGAATCAGTAACTGTGACTCAAATATTAGTTCAACAAACCAAATCTATTTGGGTGGTAAAAATTAGATTTTTAACAAGCTAAAATATGTGAGTTTAAATTTAGACTTGATAGAAATAGTATAAGGAGGTTGTATATAAAATTTGAAGTCATTTAGTGGAGATTTGGACTGGTTTTGAACAAGAATTGTAACTGAAAATCGTGGAAGAAGTTCGTCTACAGACGCTTGTATAAAGGTGTATAAAAGTGTATAATAGTGTATAAGATGTGTTTATACACTCATATACACTACTCCCTCCGTTTCAATTTATGTGAACCCATTTGACTGGCCACGAAGTTTAAGAAAAGAGAGAAACTTTTGAACTTGTGGTGTAAAATGAGGCACATATATTTTGTGTGGCTATAAATCATTGCATAAAGGTAAATTGTTTCTAAATAAGGAAAGAGATCATTCTTTTTGGCACGAACCAAAAAGGAAATAGGTTCACATAAATTGAAACGGAGGGAGTATTATACAAGATTATACAAAATTATACAAAAAACTGACTTCGTCTTCTACCTTGCGTTTTCTCTGAAATTTAACTCAATCTTGCTCAAATCTACTCCAAATCACTTCAAATTTAAAATTTAAACTCCTTTTGATATTTTCAATCAATTGGAACAACGCCAAATCCAAACAACTAACATACTCAAAAATCCTATTTTCGAAAGCAAAGGTTTGAATGACCTTCAATGGTAGACTTCTACTCTTCAATTTTCTGACAATGCAAATAGGGAGAGAAGCAGAAAATACACAGCCCCTTGAAGCATATGTAGAAGATGCAAGAAGAAGAGAGAGTGAAAGCAAAAGTTGTAATTCTTTCTTTATGATATATGCATCATATAATATTGAAAAAATGGCATATGAAAACAACTAACTGATAACACGATTTGTCAAATGAAGACAAAAGGAACTAAGTGAAGTAACTTCAGAATAGCAATGACTATGTATCCTAGTATCTACTGTGCAGTAACCACATGCAGTCTGCAGTAAGGATTTCAAGATTATTAAGACAACTTACTGCTTTAACACCAGCTTCTTGTACATAAGCAACATCAGCAGGTGTAAAGAGTCCAGACTCCCCAACCACCTAGAGAATTAAAGTATCAAGAAACATCACAACTTATTGAGAGAACAAATTACAAAAGAATAATAATTATAAAATATACGCATGGAAGTTCTTACAATTATGCCCTCCTCATGGATCCTTTTCCCACGTTCTCCTTCAAGAAGGTTTTTGGTATTGCTAATGTCCACCTTGAATGTTCCTGATAACATAAGAAGTTAAATTATGAGGCAATAAGTCTTCAACAATTTATGCATAAAGTTGACATGCATGTGCCTATACATGGTTTACTATGCTTGTACAGTTTTCACTAGCCCTACAGGCAGCCAAACAATTTGTCTCCTGGCAATAATTGAGATGTATGCAAAACAAGTAATGATCAATGAATTGTGTAGAATTAATAAAGCAAATACCAAGATCTCGTTAAGTTGACACGCATGCGCCTATACTTGGTTTCCTATGCTTGTACAGTTTTCACTTGCCCTAAAGGCAGCCAAACAATTTGTCTCCTGATAGTAATTGACAGCATGTACGCAACCAAGTAATAATCAATGAATAGTGTAGAATTAATAAACCAAATACCAAGATCTCGATTATTGATGCCAATAAGCTCAATCCCATCAATTCCGAGGACGCGATCCATTTCCCTCTCATCATGCACCTAGAAGATGAACAACCAGGAAAAACAATTGAATATGCTAAGAATTTAGGAAACAAATAGAGGCTGAGAAAGAGATGTTGTTTCTCTTGAAAAGGAAACAGAATCAAGGCAAAGAAAGATGAGAATCTCATCCATCAGCTAAGAATGTCCAATTACATCGAAAATACAGGGGAAATCAAAGCAAACATATGCAGCTACAGAAGAGCTTTCGACATGAAAGAAACTTGTAGCAAACATAATACATCATGAATCATTTTACCAAACTTAGAAAATGTAATTTCACTTTTTTCCGCTTCTTGGTTAACGAAATGTAAAACAAAAGCCTGGCAACATGTCAATGAATCTAAGATAAATTTTCCCCTTTTGGCGCAAAGGATAAAAAACTAAGAGTGAAGAAATTAAAATTTTACCTCAACTAGCGCCGTCAATCCAAGTAATTTGCAGATCTTAGTCATATACATGATGTCAATATCTGGTAGAACAGCAGCAATTAAAAGAATTGCATCGGCACCTTTAATACGAGCATAGTAGATTTGCCAAGCATCTACAACAAATTCTTTACACAGCAAAGGACACTGCAAACAGTGGAGTTTAATGGAGAAGTTGATAAATTATAGCTTGT